ATCTGCAGATGGAATAGCCCATTGTGACGTCACATTATATTGTGAACCCCATAAAATTCCCTTTTTGAACGAATGTTACATGGGCTACTTGTTGACACACGTGGAAACCACTACGGAGGGTGCAAACAGTGCATGTCACAGATACGGGGTGCTAAAACAGACAGGTGTGATCCCTGCTGAATACGACTGAAGGCATTTGGACTGTTGGTAGATATTACTGTGACAATCACCGAGTGACTGGTTCTTGATACCACAGAGCATGTAAATAATACTTGACCTAGTGAACGTTTTTTTCAATGTCAAACGGTAAGATATTCACTTGAATTACTCGAAGTGGATCTATCAAAATGACAGCATTACACCAAGCAATCAATCATAAATGAGAATCTTTTCAAACTGGGTCTTATCATTCCTTGAAATACTGACTACACGGCTCAAGTTCAGAGTGCAGGCAAGTCCCTCATATATTTGTATCAGTCGCTCCCAGTACTCTCACGGGAGGTGCATTAAATTGTGGTACTCAACATGTCGATCCTCATTAAAACATCGCTTTCAAATAGGTTCTTTACAACTGTAGTCTCCAATTATCTTCATTCATCATGAAATATTCATATCCGCCATACCAAAATCCCGACATGTGTTTACGCTAAATAAAGATCCATGTCCTAATTCGCTATAGAAGTCATATTTCACTAATGTGTGTTATCGGATACAAAGGGTGTATGAAATTGTAACTTATAAGCAGTAAATCAGGTATTAGTAGATTATCATATATCAAAAGTATTAGATAACAACACTTACATACAGCACCACATCTGACCTCTTATGTATAAACTATATTTTCAGACATTATCCTCTTGTTGGGATGATCATTTCTACATCACAATATTACCCAGATAAATCAAAAACACTTTAGAGACGATGCATGTCAATGTTCCAAGTTCAAAGACTCATTATTTAAGAACCCCAAACAAATAATACATACACATAATTGGTCAAATATGGTCAACAATAGTCAATATTTAGCCACTGAGACATATAGTTACATACCTATCTGTTCACTAGTGCATGTTCAATAACCCTATGTGTTTCTCAGGTCAAGGAAAAATATGCAAAATAAGTGAATAACTGAATCTACAAAACTGTTATGTATAAGCTGGGATAGCTTATGTGAGAAGAGCCATGTCAATCGACTTAAACATATCACTAATTTGATGAAATGCATTATTTTTTAACTTGGAATATTGATCCTAATAGATGATCGACTTTTCTTTCATTTCACCAACACTGTGGTTCCATGTTTGACACAGTATCGATACCACATAAAGACATTGATTGTTAGATGTGTGCCACTGTGTAACGTTTGGCCGACAAGCTGTGGTTCGGACTGCCATTGATCGTCACTATCCATTTTCCACTGATATTTTTTCATTAATAAAAGAGCAATGAAAAGAAATTGACTAGAAATTTCAGTATAATTAATTGCAAGGGTCTGGAAATAAAAATAAGATCATAGTTAATCAGAACCACAACTTTCCAAGGCCTTATCACCTTCATAATCCTAGATGACCAATCAACTACAACAGGTGATTCAAGATAATATACTTGGGAAGAAAGAACCAAATTCATCCATATCTTGCAGACTTTATTCACAAAGCAATGCATGTGTGTTCATATGTAACAGTTAAGGGTTCTATTTCACTTTAAATCCAGGGTCATTACCAAATTCCACACACTGAACAAAAAGGGTTACGGATCGTCAATATTTTTTAAATTTTATTTTTTTGTAGTGAAGACTGAGAACACATTTTCATAGACATCCCCCAAAATATGCATGATCCCTACCTTTTTTGTTCAAAATATACAAAATTTGTTTATCATGAAATCTGCTTTACATTACTCATAACAATTCCATAAATTTTGAATCATAAAAAATGACCACTAAAATGGAAATAAAATGTCATTTTGAGAAGAAAAAAGAAAAAGACTTGAAAATGCAACACTGGCAGGAGACTAATAGATCCAGATATTAATGAAATAAAACCCTGAATAATTCATGTTTTAAATACTGTGTCAAATATGGTACGCCTGTGGTCAAGAACTTATTTTGCAGTATTTTACCAATGTTTTCGACCTGGTCTATCGTTGATGAGCTTGAGACGTCCTAGCCCAGGCCACAGTTGAATCAGGAAGCCAGTGTGTGGACTTACCTTGTGATGCCTGGAACCACGCCCCCTTCATTCGCTGTACTGTGGCACTGGGTGTGTCAACATGGCAAGTGACAAGACTGATAAAAGGGTGGAACCTGCTACTTGAACAATTTCACTTATGCCTGAAATATTGGGTGTTTAAACTGTAAACCAGCTTTGATTTACCGAAAAGTCTCAAGTTTTCCACAGGTATATGAATCCGTCTTGTCACTGGCCAAAGTAGTGCATGTGTGTACATAACTAAGTATGGTGCTTAACAATTACCATTTATAATGACATGGCACCAAAATTGATATTTATTGATAACCACAAACATTATTACTGAATTCAAAATTTATAAAGAAATTGTTTTTGACAGAGCTGGGTCATTAACATCATTTGTTGAGAACAATCACTGACTTGCAATAAGCAAATACAATAAATGCAAATACATTTCTTTAGTCCAGTTGACATCTTTCATGGAGAAGAAGTGCAGACTTGCAATAAGCAAAAAAAACCAAACACAAATACATTTCTTTAGTCCAGTATCACGCTCGCTTTCTTCTGACATTTCAATCAGTACTTCAGCATTAGAAATTAGAAATCTAATGTAGAGCCTGAGGTAATCCTTACACAACAAACGATACAAAACACATCCTTGATAATGTTCTGAAACTTACCTAACCATATCAATATTCAAACGCTACCAATTTTAAGTTCTCAACTAATGTCAATGCCCAAACTCAGTACAAAAACAAACTGCTGGCAATGCTAACAACATAACTGGGCATCAAAATCCATCAGGAATAATCGTGAAAATGTTTTTTGCAAAGTCTACAAAAGAACATAAGGTAAGGCGGTATATTTAATCACAAGACAGATTTCAATTGATATTTTCCAGAAACAAATTTTATTAGAAAATAATAATTTCCCAAATGTCTTCAAAAACAATGTCACAGAATATATATTCTGAACACAGGAGGGATGGGTGTTGCGCATCTTTAAATGCACCCTCGATCATCCAGCTTATCATACCTCCATTCCATAATAACATTCAGCAGGCCTACCAATGAAAACTGACAAGACTGCAACGGAAAAGTGTCATATGCCTACAATACACAGGGGATAGGCTACATAAAATAATGAGAATGTAACCAAAAACTAAGAAACAGCATCATAAAGAGACCATGCTGCCAAAAAACTTGGACACAGCAGCCTTCCAAACTATCATTGACTGAACAAGAAGGAAGTTGCAGTCATAATCATGAAGATCAACAAACAGTGAGTAAATGTACATCTTACAGTACCAACATTCAATATGCTGTATTACCGCTGAAAGATGTACATTTACCCACTGTTTGTTGATCCTCATCACATGACACCTTGTTCTGCACATGCCTAGTTTGGAAGGCTGCAGTCTGTGAGTGAGTGGGGTTTAACGCCGCTTTTAACAGTATTCCAGTTATATCACGGCATGTCAGCTTAATGTGGGAGGAAAGCCTGAAAGTGATGCAGGTCTCAGGCGTTTACCACTTCGGTGAAACCCACGAGCACAGGTATGGTGCTGACAAACCTAGAAACAATCAGGGCGAACCAGAATTTGAACCCACAATCATAGGTTTCTGGCTTGTCCAAGGGACACAACTCTGCACAGAAAATCGCAGCGCCTTAGACGACTGGGCCAACCGTGCCCCCGCTATGGTCTGTGTGCTTCAGTGCTGCTGTTTCCATGTTTTCAGCAGCATGCTCTCAGATTTATGATGCTGTTTCTCAGTTTTTTTAAATATGTTCTCATTATATCATTTTTTTACCAATCCTTGTGTAATGTAGACATATGATGGTGTCTTGTTGCAGACTGTCGGTTTTCATTGGATGGCTATGTTTACACAAAAGTCCTGTTACCAGTTTTGCTGTTTGTCCCCTTAAAATGTTGTGGATCTGATTAATAAAATTTCAAAATCATGAATGTTAGGAAGGCAAATTATAAATATATACAGACACAAGTTCAAGATGAACCTCCATCATGGTACTTACTTAGGCGATATGGTAGAAATACTATCATTTGAATCAGAAATGATTCACTGCAATCATAAACCAACACGACTTAGACGTGCAGTTTTCTTGTTGACCCTTCACATACTAGAAAAAACACCTTAGTGCACGAAATGTTCTTAACGTATCTTTTCCATATTTCAGAATATAGCTCTACCCCATACTTTGGCAATTAAAGAAGAGTGAGTGGGATTAACCGGGACTGATCATATCACAGGATCTTGTGATGCAGTCAATGAACAAAGGTAAAATTGTGTAGCCAGATCACCATTGATCTACTTTACAACAAACAGGACTAAGATTAGCTTTGCACACAAATCCTTGCGGCTAAAAACACTTGGTTGAGGCACACCAACCCACATGGCAAACCATGAACAACTGAGCCTGGGTTTCCCATGAATGAGCTAACATTAATTCAGCTTACCGATTGAACTCCTCCCATCACTGCAACAGGCATATATCCAGGATTCAAAATTAAGAGCTTTTGGCAGGAAAATTGGGGAAATAATGTTTGTTCAAAAAAGGATTTTTTAAAAGTTCAAATTTTTCTCAATTTAGACATACACTAACATTGATCTTCAATACAATAACGTGTAACTAAGTATTTAAATCCTCTTACCCTTTGTTGGTCTGGTTATTAGCAAAATACAAATATATATGCCTTCCTAATTCATACCTATCCATAACTACAATAATTTGGTAAGTTGTGAGCATGGCCAGCAGTTTCTTGAGGGTGAAAAACTGAAAAAATATAATCACCATCATTTCCATAATCAGCATCGTTGTCATCACAATCTTCGTCTTGTTCTTGAAACACTAAAAAGTCATCTGCACTTTGGTCACCATGATGAACTTGACTAGTACTGGGTTCGGCGTAATCTGGCACATGTGGAACGTTTTGATGGAAGGACGATGATGAAGAACCGGGTGATTGAGAATGGGATGATTGTGGATGAGAGAGTCGATCTAGAGCTGCTTGGGACGTTTGCGTATGAGGTACATCTGATGAATAATCTATTTGCATGTATGGAGTCTCTTTCTTTGGCACAACATCATCGGGATCATGGTCTAGTTCTATTTCTATTAAATCTGGATCTTCTGGTTCTTGTTTCACATTCACTGGAGAGTCATTTTTGGATTTTGATTGTGTGTTTTGAGATGGACGTGGACTGATTTGAGGTTGTGAGCGACGATGAAGTGGAGATCTGGGTCTTGGAGACTCAGAAAAAGAAGTCCTACGATTTTTAGCAGGTGGTTGTGACACTGATATTTCTTGATGTCTCTTGGATGGAAATGACACAGGTGTAGAATGCTGCATTGCGGACATATTATTTGAATCGTAATTGTCATTTTCTTGAGGCATTAATGTGCGGTCCACATCAAACACAGAGAGTTTTAATGTCTTACATTCACTCTTTGATATCATGCTAGCATTTGACGACACACCGTCCACTTTGAACGTTAGTTTGTTTGAGCGCAACACAACCTGCACACTGGCATCTTGCGTTGTGCCGTATGAGTTCACGGATGCCGGAAACTCTACGTTTGACCTCTGTCCCTTCTGAAGAGTTGAAAAAACATTACACAATTCCACAGGAATTGTGAATTCAAGAGTTTCGATGAACATGATTGATTATGTCGGAATATAACACGTAGAAATATCACAAAATGCTTTCAATGTTAGTAATCTTGAGCGCTTAGATCGGTGGTTGATCACATGTATAGATAACACCGCATGTTGAGCTTTGCCGCCAAGCAGGTGCGCGGAATGTCGAAACAAAAGCCTCAGCTAAATCACCTGTTTTCGCTCCAATGCAAACACAATACATACAGTAACTTCGCCCGTTTGCTTCTTAGTGTAGTGTTCATGCAGGTTTTCATCGAAAGATCTTCTGTTAATGTGCAATCCAGCTGCACAAGTGCTCTTCGATTTTCTGGAAAATTCTCAACAATGGCGGATTCATCTTCTTGACCGGCTTTTCCTCATGTACTATTCCCCGCGCGACACATTACAGTTATACTATTGGTTTTGAAGTCGTCTGTCGATTAATGTCACAGTGTCCCCCCGCAATACGCCTGTTTATATAATAATCATAACTGTGATGCTTGTTTAGCTGAATATATATTTTATAGCCCCGTCATTTGATAATCGGGATGGGATGGTGGTGATGAGTTTCTTTAAATAATCTGTTCTTGAAAAAAGATTTTACCCACAAAAGTAAATTGTTCGCTTTACAACATAGATGTCCTGAAATAAATTTAAAAAAAGTAACTTGTTCGGATCCTTGCACTGAATATAAATACTTGTTTTGAGGCAGTAAACGAACAAAAAGCATGCTAACCCTCTGTTCACAAGCACACAGTAACTAGTATATACATTAATAAATAAATTTGTCAAGTTATACAGGTCTGTAAATAGTGTATATAAACTCAAATACATACATACGTTAATATGCAAGGTCTGCACATCTTCGCCTAGTCAAGTGTATTTTTGCACATATTTATATTTGCCTCGTTTCTTTTCTTGTCATATGAACCCATTGCAAAAATACCAAAGCGAGCAGCTGGATTGTGCTGATTGGGGAGAGGGACCGCTGCAGTTGAGAATTCAGCTGATGAATCTTACCAGGATATTACTTGTCCAGCTTTGTGTTTAACATCCACGGGTTTGACATACTTGATGTGTCTTTCCAAGAAACTCTAGAAGCTCTGGCACTGATGATAAAATGTTTCTTTCTTCATTTGGAATGTTTCAATCCATTGCTGCTCATCAAACCTAAATGCCCGTATTACATACGTTTTATGTGGATTCAATCAGGAGTATTTGTAATCATTACACTTCAGAAATCGTCGTCAGGTGTGTTATGTGAAATTTATTAAACAGAGCTACAGATGAGCTTTTGGATATTTGGGTATTTTACCTCGGTCGGTTGGTTGGTTTGTTGCTTAACGCCACACTCAGCAATATTCCAGCTATGTGACGGCGGTCTGTAAATAATCGAGTCTGGACCAGACAATCCAGTGATTGACATCATGAGCATCGATCCACGCAATTGGGATCGATGACATTCATCAACCAAGTCAGCGAGCCTGACCACCCGATCCCGTTAGTCGCCTCTTACGACAAGCATAGTCGCCTGTTACGGCAAGCATGGGTTGCTGAAGACCTATTCTACCCCGGAATCTTCACGGGTCGGGGGTGGGGGAGATTTGGATTGGCTATCCACGGGTTTTAGAGGGTATTCAATTTATTTTTACCCACCTGTGTCTTCACATTTGGGTATTTAACTTAAAAACCTGTTTCGTAACGATCCTTGTAAATCATTCAACAATATTCCAGCTACATGATGGCGGTCTGTAAATAATCGAGTCAGGATCAGACAATCCAGTGATTTGTCATCATGAGCATCGATCCACAAAATTGGGAAACGATGACACGCATCAACCAAGTCAGCGAGCCTGACCACCCGATCCTGTTAGTCGCCAAGTATGGGTTGCTGAAGACCTATTTTACCCCTAATCTTCACTGATATTACTGAGCATAAAGAACTAAACCTACACCTCAGACGTATTTAGATTTTTTGGTGTGTGTAATATTTTGGAGAAACGGTCTCACGTTGTTTCTATTACAGGGTGGATTGCAGATTATCAGTACTGTCCAAGAGCAAATGATGAAACTATTGTAATTGTCACGGTAACCCTGTGTTTACTAACGAACATTTGTCAGGGCAATGTCTTATGCAGTATGTACGAGTTTGATAAATACATTCATATGACTATGACAAAATACATGTTTCGTGTTTTGGGGGAGTCTTATTTGCCATGAAGTTTACCACTTCGGTAAAAACACGAGCACGGGTATGGTCCTGACAAACCTAGAAACATAATCGGGTCGAAGCGGGATTCGAACCCACAATTACAGGTTTCTGGCGTGCCCAAGGGACGCAACTCTGCACAGCGAATCGCGGCGCCTTAGACGACTGGGCGACCTGTGCCCCCGCGATTGCGATGAAGAAAGATGAACACAACAGGTAACATTTCAGGCGAAGTATGGATCGCTTGCTTCACAATGCTACACGATAGTTTGTAATGTTGTTGTCTTTTGCTCACCGCCTCCGTGGTCTAATGGTAGAGCGTCCGCCCGGAGAGCGGAAGGTCCGGGGTTCGATCCCCGGCCGCGTCATACCAAAAGACGTTAAAAGATGGTACTTGTTGTTACCCTGTCAGGCGCTCAGCATTAAGGGGCTAAAACAAGGACTGGTCGGCTCGGAGTCAGTATACTGTGTCTGAGTGGGGTATTCATGTTAAACTGCGGCATGGTATCTCAGTGGGCTAGGACTATAAATCGGCATCAGTCCGGACTATCACAAGCACACACACACACACACACACGTGCATGCACGGCGCTGTAAGTGCAATACTCTTGGTCGCCACGTTAAACCCCATTTCACCTCACCTTATAATGTTTTTGTAGAACTCTGACTCACATCTGTATGCCTTGAATATCCACATGATCATGAGAAATAAAGATAATAAATAATTCATGATTATAGTTCACAATTGCGTCTTTGTGACGTATACTAGAGAATATGCATGGGTGTGAAGCTAAGGTTTGAATTCTTACACCTTAAAAGACCATCGGGTTAATTGTATTCGACACGCACCAAGATTTGTCATTTCAGAGCTGTAGAAGCAAGTGGCTGAGAACGCATCATGTTCTGAATATCGGTCCAGAACACGTTAAGGGCGTTATAAAAGTGTTACATCGCCAGAGCGCATCAAAACGTTTTGAAAATGTTCTGGGTTGAGAACATCAGCGTTCAGAATATTTTCAGAACACATGGAAGCGTCCTGAAAGTGTTACATCCATGGGTTCTGTCTCGTGTCGTGAAGTAGAACACTTAGGTTTAGTGTGCTTGAAATAGATCAAATTGCTTGTACTACAGTTTCTAGTACGCAGTCACAAATACCCTAAGGATCTGAAAAAATGTACAGTAAAGTACGGTTATAATGAACTCAAAGGGACTGCTAATTTTAGTTCGTTATAACCGTAGTTCGCTATAAGCATATATACAGCATAACTACAGCAAATAGTCGGGACCAAAACAGTACGTTCGTTATAAGCATGTTCATTATAACCGTAGTTTACTGTATTTGTAGCTTGGGGAAACGTTCTGTGCACACCTCAGCCACGTTAAATGTATGCGAGTGGACTTCTTTTTTCTTCTTTTGTCTTTGGTTCGTTTTCCCCCTTGCCTTCTTCGGCTCTATGGAGATTTCTACCCTGGGTTTGCTCTTTCCGCAGATACCATATTGTTAGGGGTTTTGGTTGGTTGGTTGGTTGTTTAACGCCGCGCTCAGCAATATTCCAGCTATATGACGGCGGTCTGAAATAATCGAGTCTGGACCAGACAATCCAGTGATTGATATCATGAGCATCGATCCACGCCATTGGGATCGATGACATGCATCAACCAAGTCAGCGAGCCTGACCACCCGATCCCACCCGTTAGTCGCCTTTTACGACAAGCATGGGTTGCTGAAGACCTATTCTACCCCGGAATCTTTACGGGTCGTTAGGGGTTTCGACATTGGTCTTTAAGTGTAAGGGGCTACTTATATTTTTTCATAACTTCAAATGCCTATTAAGTCATTATTTTGGTAGTTTTGATTTATTTAGTGATACTGTGGAATGCACATTTCCAAGGGCTCTCCATATATCCTTAACACATGGTAAGGTTTCCAAAAGGGATCACGTGACCAGCCCCTAATGCATTATGGTCGGAAATTACGTTTCAACCCGGTTTGGACCTGCAGGGGATATGTGTAACAGCACATTTCAAACATAGATCAATTTTGCATAAACATGATAAATGGTATATCGAAGACTGGTTTGGTTCAGTGATAGTCAAACAGTTCTTTCACTGATTTACCCACCTGAGCAAAAGAAAAGAAAGTGGCCAGTACATATGCATACAGATTCACACGACTTGATGAGGGGGCACGGGTGGCCCAGTCGTCTAAGGCGCCGCGATTCGCTGTGCAGAGTTGCGTCCCTTGGGCACGCCAGAAACCTATGATTGTGGGTTTGAATCCCGGTTCGCCCCGATTATGTTTCTAGGTTTGTCAGCACCATACCCGTGCTCGTGGGTTTCACCGAAGTGGTAAACGTCTGAGACCTGCATCACTTCGGGCTTTTCTCCCACATTAAGCTGACACGCCCTGATATAACTGGAATAATGTTAAAAGCGGCGTTAAACCCAACTCACTCACTCACTCACAAGACTTTATGACAAGAGTGATGACTTAAACTTTCCACTAGTCAACTTTCCCTTCATGTCAAGCAATATTCCAGGAGCTCTGCAATTGGTGTTTACATTTTGCAATTGGTGTTTACATTTCATACCGTTTGATGTCAGTCGAGCGTGCTGTTCTACGAAGATTTCAAAGAGCGTCAGAAGACTCTTGCTCCAAAGTTACACGGCCTTTGTAAAGTTTTGAAAAAAAAGAATTATGTTAAATTTGTGGAGGACATTTTTAAATTTGAAGCACCAGTGACCAAAATGGTGTCCGATGCATTTCCATATTTTGACTTGTACCATGTGTTCTGGGTGACACGTGCTTATGATATATAGTATGATCAGAAATTATTGAGAATTTTAGGGATATGTTTAAGTGGATATCTAGTATAAAAAACACTGACCAGATATCAAGTCCTATGAAGGAAAGTGTCAATAAAAAAGGGGCGGTCGGGTAGCCTAGTGGTTAAAGCGTTCGCTCGTCACGCCGAAGACCCGGGTTCGATTCCCGACATGGGTACAATGTGTGAAGCCCATTTCTGGTGTCCCCCGCCGTGATATTGCTGGAATATTGCTAAAAGCGGCGTAAAACCATACTCAGTCAGTCAGTCAATCAAAAAATCTGACAAATATTGCTGAAATGAAAGAAGAGATGGTCCTGCGGGACAGCATGAACCACGACTGTCTAACTTCTTTGATCAGTAGTATGCCCAGCCTCCTTGAAGCCTGCATTGCTGCCCATGGTGACTTGACAAAATACGAAGTGTTCACCTGTCTTTGACGCTGGAGTAATGTTGTATCTTTAAATTCTCAATAATCTCTGGTCATACTGTATAGTCGCAATCGTACGATAGACTCTGCTTTTAGCATGTGACATGTGCATGGTCAACGCGTGCAAACCATGCTTGCCGTAAAAGGCGACTAACGGGATCGGATGGTCGGCTCGCTGACTTGGTTGATGCACGTCACGGTATCCCAATGGCGTGGATCGATGATCCTGATGTCAATCACTGGATTGTCTGGTCCAGACTCAATTATTTACAGACTGCCCTCATATAGCTAGAATATTGCTGAGTGCGGCGTTAAACAACAAACACAAATTCTAAGGTAAGTGACTGTTCGAAATGTGACTGTTCATCCAGCAGTGAATGGGTACCAGGCAGGATAAGATAATCGGAATGCAATCGGGTGCACACTGATACAGTGACCCGGGTAATAATTTAGCGCTTTGAGTGTGCTGTAGGGTGTGGATTTGAAGCATTATAAATATGCATATTGTCATTATTATTATTATCATTATTATTTTGTTCTTCTTCTCGGGGCGGTCGGGTAGCCTGGAGGTTAAAGCGTTCGCTCGTCACGCCGAAGACCCGGGTTCGATTCCCGACATTGGTACAATATGTGAAACCCATTTCTGGTGTGCCCCGCCGTGATATTGCTAGAATATTGCTTAAAAACGGTGTAAAACCATACCCACTCACTGTTCTTCTTCTACTTCTATCTTCTTCTTCTTCTTATTATTATTATTAGAAAATAATTTTAGATTAAATTCAGCTGAAGTCAAGAATGATTTGGCAAGTTTAGATTAATTGGGCATTTCTCTGGGCTTTTTAGTTTGTAGATATATATTTAAAAAAAAAAGATTAATTTATGCCAAGGACTAAGCGTTAGTTGGAAACCTTACAACTTTTCTTGAGGCTGCGCATATGTAGTTTGCTTCTCAATTCAATTTCTTTATTCAGTATCAAGGCCACAGGCCTGTGTGCAAATAAATATTGACATATAGAATATACATATTGGTGCAACATTAAACAAGTATTACAAATGGGATGAACGTAATACAATAGCCTCTTTAATATATTCACAGCATTGAAGTAAATCAGTGAGTTTGCCTGAGCTTATATGCTTAAATAACTGAGATTTACAATATGTATTTGGAATGTGTTTCTGTCTTATATCATCATATAATGGACATGATAGCATAAAATGTCATTCAGTTTCAATGATGTTCTTACAAAAAGGACAAAATCTAAAATTAAAATCAATATTACTTTTTCTTCCAATATTCACCATGATATTTAATTCTCCAATTCTTAACAGTGATAACATTCTTCTTAGTTCTTTACAAGTGATTTTTAAAATATACGGTTCAATAACAAATGCTCTTTTGAGTGACGAATAAAATTCTAAATGTTCATAATCATTAACTTGTGAAAGCCATGTTTGTATATAACAATCTTTAACTCTTTCTGAAAACTCACATATACATAAATCAGTGTGACCAACAGACATACAAAAACAAAACCATATAAGTACAAAATATTCTTGATGTTAGTAGCCCATGTAACTCTTCCTACTTGATCTAATCTATATCTCATATTATAACACTGTCTAGGATATCTTTCATTTGACCTTGTGGTTAGTTTACACCAATATTTCAAACAATGTACATTAGTCTCACAATACAATTTATAGCGTCCACATTCACCAAAAAAAGCAACATTTGTGTACAAGATTTCCCGACACCAAGTAAATATTTACAAAATCTAGTTTGTATGGCTTCTAAAACATTCCAATTGTGGGTTCCCCAGAATTCTGAACAGTAAAATAATATTGGTTTTATTTGCGTATGAAACATTTGAAACAATATTGGTAAAGGAAACAATATTTGCTTATCCGTTAATAAATCCATTTGAAAATAGAGTGGGTGGCATCAAAATATACAATAGTGGCTATTGTCTTAAGGGTGGCACGAGGTAAGCGAACCTATCACTCCTAAATTGCATTTTATCGATGAGGCTTTATGATATATGGGGGTTTAGGGGTAACAGTTGTTTTACGCCACGGTGAACAATATTACAGCTACATCTCGCTGGCCTCTTGTACGTCGATACTCGGCTGATGCAGCTGTGTCTGGCAAGAGGAGCCCAACAGAGTAGTGAGTGAGTGAGTGAGTTGGGTTTAACGACGCTTTTAACAGTTATCCAGTTATATCACGGCGTGTCAGCTTAATGTGGGAGGAAAGCCCGAAGTGATGCAGGTCTCAGACGTTTACCACTTTGGTGAAACCCACGAGCACGGGTATTGTGCTGACAAACCTAGAAACATAATCGGGGCAAACCGGGATTCAAACCCACAAACATAGGTTTCTGGCCTCCCCAAGGGACGCAACTCTGCACAGCGAATCGCGGCGCCTCGGACGACTGGGCCGTCCGTGCCCCCCCCCAACAGAGTAGGAAGTCAAGCGAACAATGTATTTAATTTAGTGGAATCCGAGGACACATTATTGTTTTTGCCTTGTTCTTCCGAAACTATGAAAGCCTAGTGTTGCCATTTTCGTTGGGTAAAAATAAAATTAGATCTTGGAATTACGACATTATTTATAATAGTTACGAACTTATCTCTCGTTGTTACGAGTTTGTGGAGAAGGTTTCTCAAGTATAATTCTTGAGTCCGTCTGCTGATAATAACATGATTCTTCAAAGCAGTCTTTTTATATAAAGTCTTAATTACGAGAAAAAAAAGTTGAGATTACGAGATATAGTTATGTTTTACAAAAGAAAACAAGGCAACGTTGTTTTTAAAAAACGACATCCCCAAACCCTACGTTCACAACCTCATATTGCACTTTCGGTGATATTATTGAAGCCGTTATCTAAATATTAAATTAGTTGGAAGGAATATACTTTTCATTTCCGTTTGCAGGTGACTCGGAACAGTTCGGGCGCACTTTCATTGTGCGTTGTATGGGCGAGCCGGACGTTACCGATGATCTCCGAATGTTAATTGACTCAACGATTCCGCCATTGTGAAATTTGAATGTGCGAGTGAAGAAGATTACACCTAAGTTTGCCACGTGAAAGAAGCCATTTCGTCGCCGATTTCCATTGCAACACACTCAGTAGACATCAAGGACTCTTAATGTATGCTTTTGAAGTCTTTCCAATCAAAGCTTTCGGCTAAGTCAAGAAGAGCGTTTTTCTGAACGCGCACCTGCTCGAAACTGGCAAACAATGGCGACCAGCTACAACGTGAGGTTTTATCATCACCGGTGATATCCCGATCTCGTCTCTTCTCATTAATCGGAATAATTCAAGCGGTTTGTGATATTAGTGTTGTGGTCTTCTGCATAATCAACATGTTTATTGAAACACTAGAGTTCACGATTCCTGTGGAATTGTGCAATATATTTTCCTCACTTCAAAAAGGACCGGCGTCTAATGTTGAATTTCCGGCTTCCGTGAACTCATACGGCACAACGCAAGATGCCAGTGTGCAGGTTGTGTTGCGCTCAAACAAACTAACGTTCAAAGTGGACGGTGTGTCGTCAAATGCTAGCATGATATCAAAGAGTGAATGTAAGACATTAAAACTCTCTGTGTTTGATGTGGACCGCACATTAATGCCTCAAGAAAATGACAATGATAACTACAATGCTAATAATATGTCCACAGTACAAACATTGCAGCAAACAGTGTATTTGTCAAATCCTGCCAAAAGATTACATGAAAGTTCTGTGTCTATGCCACAACCAGCTTCTAAAAGCAGTAGGACTTCTTTTTCTGAGTCTCCAAGACCCAGATCACCTGTTCATGCTATTCATCGTCGTCCACATTCTCAAGCCAGTGCAAGTCCTTCTAACCACTCTCAACAGTCAAAATCCAAAAATGACTCTCAAGTGAACGTGAAACAAGAACCTGAAGATCCAGATTTAATAGAAATAGAACCTGACCCAGAACCTAATAATATTGTGCCAAAGAAAGAGACTCCATACATGCAAATAGATTATTCATCAGATGTACCTCATACGCAAACGTCCCAAGCAGCTCTAGAACGACTCTCTCATCCACAATCATCCCATTCTCAATCACCCGGTTCTTCATCATCGTCCTTCCATCAAAACGTTCCACATGTGCCAGATTACGCCGAACCCAGTACTAGTCAAGCAAGATATGGTGACCAAAGTGCAGATGACTTTTTAGTATTCCAAGATGAAAACGATGACGGCGATGATAACGAAGCAGATTACAGCAATGACGGTAATTATCATTTGAAATACATTTTTACAGAACTGCTGGTTTCTTCATAAAAAGTGCACTGTGCTCCAAATGAAAACTAAATCCAATTCAAGTTCCATGAAGTTATCACAATTGTTTAGTATCTGAACAGCTTGGACATACACGTCCTTTGAAATTTAATGAAGTGTTGCGCAATTTACCAAAAGACTATTAATTATCTCTCTGATATCGGGGATTTATCTTGACCTGCTCTAAGGCTAGTGTTAGAACATCCCAATAATGTAAGCCAATTTTTAGCAAAAAAATGAAACAAAACCCCAATTGGCCTGCCAAGGGAACTAAGATTGGAATTTCTGACTATGAATGGCTAAAAAGTAAGCTTACAAAATAGCTTAAACTAGTAACAATGATAAACAGTCTTGTTTTGAACAAGATAGAATAGACTAGAACGGATGAACTTAGATAAATGTAATATGATTTGATAAAGTGTTTACTTCTTGGAGTTGCACTGAACAAAATCTGGTGTTCTTTTTGCTAGACAGTACATCTTCAAATGTTATATTTTAGACACTGTCTGTGTGGAATGTATATAAGCTTGGAAGTACAACAGTTTTAGATCATGTTTATGCTATTCTTCAGTGTGTGATATCAAACAATTTGCCAGGCTGCCAGCAGGACCCATATACTATGGAAACTGCAGGGTCTGACTAAACTCTTCATGTCCTCATTAAAATATCACAGCTTATATCTACAAATAAATAGACAGTGACACATAAATTATCTGCAGGTCGTAAGGACCCATATACATTCTAAGCTATGGGCCTGATGCAAGATCTACCTGCCACGGGCCATTGGGAACTTAATTCATCCAAAAATCCAGCCTTTAGTGACATTTTGTCTCTCAACAGTTTAATTTTGGCAGATTATTGGCAGAATTCTTCAGAACTAGATTTGATTCTTCGAATTAGATCTTTTTATGGTGACCAGCAGTTCTATATTATCTGAACTGTGCTTGATCATTGTATGTAATCAAGAATCTTTGACATCTCCTGAGTTGTGCAGACAGAACTGAACAAAATGATTGAACAAAATCAATTCATTGTGTAAAGGTTGCCTCTTTTTTAAAATTTAGGTGCAACTTTCATACTGTGTCTTGAATTGAAATTTGATGGCAATTGGACCTTTAAATTCTGAGTAGATGCAGGTAATTTCATTGTGATGGGTGAAAGGTCACCGGTATACATCACTTTATATAATCCTTATTTTTGTTCACACAGAAGCAACTGATGGATGTTGTTTTTTATGTCGCTGCAAAAATAGCTGTTTTATAGTTAAAATTGTTTTTTAATTTCACTTCAAAATTTGAACTATAATTGTCTGCACGTTAACTAGCCCAGTGATTTCTGCTGAAACCTGAAAGGGATGTTATCACTGCCTGTGATTGGCAGTTGAATCTCTTATTGATGTCCTTTCAAACATTGTTAATTGGGGGTGATCAACTACTGGCATTAAATGTCATGTATGCTTCATGAAATGATAATGATAGTTAACTTAAGCTTTTCATCACACTCATTGAGAGATGGCTTCAACATTGACTTCCTGTTTTAGCCCCCACAAGAGTTGTCCCCCTTGGTCTTTTCCAACTGTACTAGCTTTATTCTTGATGATAATACTGTCAATGATCCAACACAGGCTCAGATTCAATAAAGATATATTAAACGTGCATGCATTATGAGTAACTCTGGAGTAATTTTCTGGTGCTTTTTTCAAGTTAAAGTAAAATAATTCAAGCACCAACCAGCCATACAGATACATGCACTTAGTTAAGTAATAAGATGGAAAGACTTGATTTGCTTAAGTTATGCTAACTTGGCCTGAATAGATAATAAATATTAGGTTTTAATGTACACCTGAAAAGTAAAAAAAGAGAGGGGAAATGTCATAAAATCAGAGTTCATCCATCTTGTCACTTTCCATGTTGACACACCCAGTGCCACAGTACAGCGATGAAGGGGGCGTGGTTCCTGGCATCACAAGGTAAGTCCACACACTGGCTTCCTGATTCAACTGTGGCCTGGGCTATCTCATCAACAATAGACAAGGTCAAAATATTGGTAAATTACTGCAAATTAAGATCTTAATTATTGATGTACCATACTTGACGCAATAATGCCACAATGTTTTAGATATCCAAGGTTTTTACACGAACACACATGCACTGCTTACGGAATAAAGTTTGCAAGAATGGATGGCTCTTGTTTGTCTTTTACACATCATTCACACTTCAGTCTTTGGAGCTTGGACGTATGCAAGCCTGAGTTGGACACATGAGCTAAGCACATACATCACTTATTTTAGAAGGTCAAGGAGGCATATGGTTCTTCCCTAAGTCGTTTCTTTGTCATAGAAAAGGGTTGTGATATTTGTTGAACATTAAATGTTCATAGAAAGTGATGCATTGATTAGTTTCTTTGTAGATTGTATTGTTAGGTCAACTATGGTACATCAAATATTAGAAACTTTTATGTGATTGGTTTCACAAAATATGGAAAGTACAGATGATAAAGATAATTTGTCTGTTTTATTTGGAAACATTCAGGCTTACTTTGCAGAATTTTCCTTTGACCTATAATACACATAGGGTTTTGCATGCATTGACACACAAATATCTGATTTGTCATTGTGTGATACTTCAATTTCATTGACTGAACAAATTTAGAAGAGAAGGTTTTTTGCATATTTGTTAATGAAATTGAAGTATTGTGTATGACTATGATAGCATTATATAATCTTACTGTATTCAACTGTTTTACAACTTCGGTCATTTCTCCTGTAAGTGCTAGGAAATTTGTTCTCTCACATTCTGATGTCATCCCATATTCATTTGAATAGCCGTTTGTAGTGACAGAGTTGAAAGGGAGAGTTCGTTTTATCCTCTGTAAATGTCAAGAGATGTAACATGGTTGAATATTGTAAGGAAATTTGTTGTACCCAATGTTGATATATTATTGAGCATTTACGAGGAAGTGATACCCGTTTTCCAGAGTGGTATTTTGTGATTGATGTTGATTCTGTTATCAATATTGTGACATTTTACAATAGAGGGTGTAGTTCATTTGAGATAGCACATGTTGTACTTCGGTTTTCAACGACAAAGAGACACTATTGTCACAAATACTGATGCTTGCATTCTAATGAGCAAAGTTAAGCTCTGTGGTGACACTTCGGTTGCTTTTGTTTACACTGGTTTCTGTTGAAACTGAAGTTGTGTGGAATACAGATGTAGACACATTTGTCAAAATCTTTGGACTTCATCATGTATCAAGGTTAAAGGTGCCAACCAAGGCCAATACAACCAACCAAGCAATCTTGATTGGGTTATTTTCATCAAATTTGAAGTGTGAGCATGTTATTAATATTGATCATGCTGAGGGGGTATGAGGCCTTGTTTCCGTATATTATTAAGAAGTTGCCTTTTTTAAGTTGTCAAGGCAGGGAATGAGAGAATTGGCACCATGCTGTTTGATAAGGATCTTGATCGCCACGGAAAGATGGATATTTCAGATCAACTGTCTCGTGACAATTGATGTGTGAACGCTGATATTTTCCCCCTCATTTCGCATCATCCGTGTGGATGTCATTCCTTCTGACAAGTGAGTGTGCCACACTTGTGTGTCACAGACCAAGCTTATGAATTCACCATGTCATGGATTGCCAACTTTTGCACATATCACAATCCACCTGGTCATTGCTGTGATACTTGACACTAGAGGGTCTATTGTATATCTTATTTAGTATTCAGGTATAGTGTTTCTTCCAAAGGATCTTTTTACTTGAGCTCGATATTTTTCATTGTTGTTGTCCTTGATCTTACCAGAACCCACTGAAGCATCCTCCTTCTTTTCTAATAACTGTCTAATTTTCGTAAGCCCCACGTTAAAAGCATTTCATGCCTGATAGTTAATTATGTGTGTTAGTCACAAGGACCTCGATTCACACCTGCATAGCTATGTTTGTCACACTTTCTTGGTATTCGTTAAGGAATGTTGTTGCTGCAAGGGTATGGTGAAAAACCCAGCCAGCACACTCTCCAGATTGTCTTTTCCTGGCTTTTTGTCATAATGTTTTACAATGGCATTGTAGCTGAGGTTGTTCTCCTTTCCAGGTGCCTCCCGCTCTGTACCCTCCTCCTCAAGGGTTTACAGAACTAAACCCAGATTTGAGAGAGGAAGCATCGGCTTGAGACATGATTCTGCAGCTGAATGTTCCAATGCTATGACCTGGCCTTGTCCTCAGTGCTCAATGGTCTTTTATGACTCTGTCGCCATGCTTGATCACAGAGAAGTGTTGCACAAGAGGAACATCTTGACTTGTCCTTGTGGAAGGATGTTTAACTCCAAATCGGTTTTAGGCCACCATCTGAAGATGTGTACTCACTCAAATCTAAGTAGATAAAGGCAAGGCACGCTTGTGGCTTTGGTATGGTATTCGGATTGGTACAATCATGATTATGGAAGTGTTTTCGTCACTTGTCAATTATCTGACCTTGGTCAGTGTTGTGAACTTACTGATTTATTTGTCTTCAAGTGCAAGCAGTTGGATTATTGTGGAAACAAATCTCATTAAAATGAGATCTGTTACTTCGATTATACCTCTCTGTACCAGATCAGAGGAAAGCTCCCTTGAAGATCACTTTACATGAACTGTGAACAAACGTGTCCGCCAGACGATGGCTAAACGATGACCGCGTTGCTCCTTGTCCCAATCAGTTTTCAGGTTTCCAAAGTGATTCAGCTCCATTTTTTAAAACAGGGCTCCAGATAACTTTTTGAGTAATTGATTTTTCACTCTAGGGTTTCTATTTAAATTGGGTTATTACATTTTTCATTGGGTTACCAATATGTTTTCACTCATCTATTCATCACACTACTGGGATTTCCCCCAAATTAGTGAACATTTTAAGATTAAAAAAAAAATGAAATAATGTTTTAGATGTATAGAACTTTTCTAAATATATAGGC